TTGCTACTGTGGACCACCGGGACCGTTGCGTCCCCGGCCCCGATGTCTGGGACCAGGGGCTTCCCAAAGAACCCGGACGAGACGAGCAGGTAGTCGAATGCGCGCGTTTCTCCCTCCTCGCCGCCGCCGCCGCCGCCGCCGCCGCCGCCGCCGCCGCCGCCGCCGCCTTCGGACGGCTCGACGGTGACGCGCCACGTCGCGTCATCTTGCAGGTCGGCCTTGACGACGCGGCGGCCCAGCTTCACCTCGGCACCTCGGCCGTAGCGGTCGAGGTACCGCTCGAGGTACCGTCCGACCATCCAGGCGCGCGGGAACTCGGGGTCCTCGGGTGCCCAAGCGAAGTCGCTGAATTGCACGGTGTGGCGGCTCTGGTTGACCGCCATGAGCGGGTGGACGAGGCCGTCGGCGTCGCTGGCGCGGGTGGGCCACAGGCCGCCGACGCGGCGCTGAGCGTCGTAGACGGTCACGGTGAAGGCGCCGGCGGGGGCGTTGTGGAGAAGGGTCTTTGCGGCGACGAGGCCGGACGGGCCGGCGCCTACACGGAAAGAGAGGGTGAGCTCAGATCGGGTACGGGAGACTTCAGGGGTTCATACCGACAATGCAGACGCGTTTGGCCATGACGAGGTGGTGACAGGGGTGATGGGGGACGAAGGTGGGATGTGAGGGAGAGAGATGCCCCTCACTATGAGATTATCCCTGCCGGGTGAGAGCTGCTGGAAGGCTGGAGGGTGGGGAGAGAGAGAGGATTGAGCGTTGGTATACGAGTGAGCTGCCGACCAGTCAGCGTTTCGTCCTACTAAGCCCACAATTCTAGGTGAGGACCGGCAGACCGCACCGCAGAGCGTCGTCAGCAGTCGTCTTCAGTCCACACGAATGAGGAAGGGGGGGGGGGGGGTCAGTGGGTAGAAGTTCACACGTCAAAAACGCCGCCGCCGAAAGCGCCATGTCGTGCGGTCGGGGATTGGCGGTGATTGTGGGGCTTGTCGCCGAGCGAGACCGGCGCTATCCGTCGTGACATTAGTCAGCATGTCTGGGGGCGAACCGGCAAGGCCGTCAGCCAGCGTTGGCGGACAGTCGCCAGCTGGTGCTTTTATTCCCCTCTGCTTCCCCTCCCTCTCCCCCCCCCCCGCGTCAAGGGCCCGGGTCGCGACAGAAGTTTCGACCGTCAGTCTGGCTAACATTTCCGCAGGTTGCCAAGCCAGGGCTTCGGGTCCTGTTACGGCCGGTACGGGCCCAGATGCCCCAGCCAAATCTCGGGGTCCCTGTCGTCGGCTTCTTGCAGCGACTCCTGTAGCCGTTCGGACGACTCCTCGACATTGGACAGCGGCTGTACACTGGAGACTAAGTTCTGTCTTGTCAGGCTGGCTGTGGCATTGGGCCCAGGCTTGCTGTTCCAGGAGACGTGAGGATAATAAAGTCATCGCTTCTAGTTTGCCAACCAAGGATCACCACCCCAGCTCATGCGGGATGCAGATCCCGACCTGGCACACACCGCCCATTACGTATTGGCTACGAGCTTTCAATTCGAATTCCAATCACGACGGGGGACTTGGTTTGGTCTCATTCAAACGCACGCCGATTGCCCTCCTACCAAACAGCCCCGGCAGGATGCATTGGTCTGGATGACCAGTACTCATTCGCGGAACGGGCAGCTGCATAGTATCGCCGTCGCATACGGTACTATGGTCTCAACCGAAAGATCTGTACCATTGGCTACGTGGCCAATCTGGTTGCTGCTCTTCCTCGCCGTCCTCTTCGTACCACCGCAACACAGATCTCGAACAACGGCGTCACCACCCCTTGTCCTCACGTGGGCACCACCCGTAACGGAACTCCACTTGCCCGTTCTGCATTCAGTCGCCCCGTGGCGGCTGCGTCGGTGACGCATCACCTGGACAATTACGGCCCTCGATACAGCACGCTCTGCCGCCAAGGAGGCGCTTGTGCTACCCAGCTTACCTGGCGTTCAATCGATGAATGTCAATATGCCTGGCTTGCAGACGAGCTTCGGCTCGTAACTGGCAGACAAAACTTGCACACGCGGGGCGTTGCCGGGGATAACGCACGCAGCAGTATTATTCCCCGAGTTCCTGCGGCCCCTGGATTTTCCCATGCAGTTTTGCCTCAATCTCCCATTCCCAGAAAGCCTCCTTGTCAAAAAATAAGATCTAATAGCAAGTGCCTATTCCCTCGAGCGGATAGGTCAGTATGACTCTGCCCCCTCGCGCAAAACGCCACCTTGGATCAAAGTCCGTTCCAAGACGGGGTTTCGACCTGTATTTTCCCTGGGACTGCCACACTTCCAGTGAGTACGTGGTGTAACCTGGATGTCCCGGGCGTCAGCTGCAGAGCTCAAGGTACTCTTGATGTCCTCTCAATTGCCGAACTTTAGAAGCCAAGAAAGATTCAGCTGTCCCAGAGAAAACAATCCAACGCGAGAAAACTGCGAATTCATTGGGCTTGGATCCTCATCATCCGGACAACACAATAGACTGCCGAGACTCCTATTGTGGCTTGTCGAGACGGATACCCTGGTTTAATAAGCAATGCTGAAGTTCTTGTCTCGAATCTTATTATCATTAATAGAAAATGTCTGGCCGAGTACAGTTCCCGCCTCGGATAGTTCCTGTTGTCGCCAAGTCGAACAAACGTCTATTGATGATAGGTCTTGCTTGCCGTGTAAAGCTGCTTCGCTCCGATTTGTCTGTCTAGTTTGATAAGATATGCACGTTCCATCGCAGGGTTTCATTGCCGAGTGTATCCCGAAGTTCTATACAGTAGAGGAAGGTTGCTCACCCCCCCCGCGCACATGCCACCGTTGCGGGCACGTACGGTGTTCCTTATATTGACCAATCTCCCGCCGTTATGGTCTGGCTTTCGTCATGATCGCGCCACCTCACATCCGAAGCCACGGGTAGACCAAACTCTGCATCGTCGGCCCTAATCACTTCAATCGCATCTCCATTTATTACACCTACTATCATTTCTTGAGGAGACGAACCGCAGCAGACCAACCGCAGCTTTGTTCAGCACGTCAATATAGCATCACAATGGACAACATCGAAAAGGCCGGCGCCTCCCACACGTTAGACCAAGGCCGGCAGGTCGACGTAAATGACCCGGATGCCCATCTCAGTGAAGAGGAGAGACTAGATGTGGTACGTGAGCGATGTATTACAGCGCGCTGAGAAGTGTTCAAACCTCTAACATGTCACCCAATATAGGACCAAAAGTTGGTCAGACGGCTTGACTGGATGCTCATCCCATGGGTACTTGATTGCGCTCCTATTAATCATGTCTTCAATCAAGCCTGACTGACCAATCTACAGCTTTGCATACTTTACCTGCTAGCGTTTCTTGACAGAACAAACATCGGAAATGCAAAGATCGCCGGCCTGAATCACGACCTGGAATTAACCAGCTCGCAGTACAACTCATCGCTTACCATATTCTTCGTCTCATACGCAGTGTTTGAGCCGTTGACAAACATTCTCCTCAAGAGGCTTCGCCCGTCAATATTCATCCCCATCATCATGTAAGCTCAAGCCGAATCGCCGGCCACCCGAGACTGGGAGTTCTTTGTTTCTAATCTTGTAGGGTTCTCTGGGGCGCGACCATGACCGGCATGGGTTTCGTACATAACTGGAGCGGCCTGATGGCCGCTCGATGGTTTCTGGGTCTCACGGAAGCAGGACTGTTCCCAGGCGTCAACTACTACCTGTCCTGTTGGTACAAGCGATCCGAGTTTGGTATTCGTGCCGTAAGTTCCGTCAGTTGCACCCTTCAGCGTCTCCTACTTACGCACGCAGGCCATCTTCTTCTCTGCGGCCGCCGTTTCGGGTTCATTTGGCGGTGCCCTAGCCGCAGCAATTGAACAGATGGCCGGCGTCGGTGGACGACCCGGTTGGGCTTGGATATTCATCCTGGAAGGCCTCCTAACGGTGTTGTTCGGGGTTGCGTCTTTCTGGATGGTGCACGATTTCCCCGATGAGGCCAAATTCCTGTCCGAGGACGACCGCCTCCGCGTCATCCGCCGGCTCAAAATGGACCAGCAGGCCTCGGCTGACCATGAAGAATTCAAGATGACCTTCTTCTGGCAAGCGGTCAAAGACTGGAAGATGTGGTTGGGCATGGCCATCTACATGGGCTGTGATATGCCGCTGTACGCCTTTAGCCTGTTTTTGCCCACCATTGTCAATGAGCTCGGATGGAACACCAGCACTGTCCGATCGCAGTTGATGACCGTGCCGCCCTACGCCGTGGCAGCCGCTTTCACGGTCTTTGTCGGTTGGGTGGCAGACAGAACCCAACAACGTGGACTTTGTAACATATTCGTCAGCCTGATCGGCATCGTGGGCTTCTGCATGCTCATAGCCACCGAGAGCCCCCAGGTCAAGTACGCCGGCACCTTTCTGGGAGCCCTCGGCATCTACCCGTGCATCAGCAACACCATTACCTGGGTCGCAAACAATGTCGAAGGGGTTTACAAGCGCGGCGTGGTCTTGGGCTTTGTCATAGGATGGGGCAACCTCAACGGCATCGTCAGCTCTAACATTTACTTTCGCGAGCCTCGCTTCTTTGAAGGCCATGGCGTTGTGCTTGCTTACATGTCTGTCTTTTTGTGTCTCGGCAGTGTGCTCATGACAACGCTACTGAGGATGGAGAACGACAAGAGGAGACATGGAAAGAGGGACCACTGGGCAGAAAACAAGTCGGAGAAAGAGATCGAGGCACTGGGGGACCAGAGACCTGATTTCATGTACACCCTGTAGCATCAGTTCATGGGCGGCCAGGCAAGGGCTTATATGGAGTACAATTAGAAGGATACGTATGTACCCCGCACATGAAGGATATCAAATTTTAGTCTGAGAATAGAATAGTCTAAGTAAATGAAACGTGATGATTTCTTTACACAAACTAGTGTGTGCTGGAAGTAACGCCGCATTACTGATTCTTGACAAGTCGGGAATAAGTCCTGAGCATCATCTATCCATTCATCAGCCCTGATGGTCTAGCGGTATGATTCTCCCTTAGGGTTACCAACCCAGTTCTGGGAGAGGTCCCAGGTTCGATCCCTGGTTAGGGCCCATTCACTTTTGCCATCCTATAAAACTTTTCTTCTAGTATACGTGATACAACCTCTGGACTTTTTCTCTTTTTTGTGCTTCTGTTTATAAGGTATTAATTAGTTGGTTGTCCTTGAGCAGGGGTTTTAAATGGCTATATTAGCTAAGTCTTGGTACCTATGCTTATAAACTTTCTGTAGAGAACGGTTGGCATTTCAGGATAGTTAGTGTGACATGATCATCCAATCACAAGAGTGCCCTAAGCCTTGGCAATCAGGGTTCAGACTACGGATATCCTGTCTGAGATCGCGCGTCAGTCTGAAGCAAATGTAACAGTTCTTGAGTCAGTCGAACGGACTCGCGTTCCTTTCCCTGAGAACTGTCTGTGTGACCAACGTTGCAGGGTTGCCACTGGCCATTGGCTCGGTTGCAAGATTGTATGTATGGTCACACGACGGATCTTCTTTTCCTCCACAGTCCCTGGTGGGGGCTGAGTCGGGGGAAGTTTGCCATGTACGATTCGAGCAGTGGCGGGCAACGCCAAGGGTATTGTGAACCTAATCTAGCCGATTTCCCTGGATAGCGATCCGAGACTGAGTATTGTGCGAGGGCCACAGTAGGGTTCGAGCGCGCCTTTTGTGCCACCCATACGGATATACATGTACATAATGTGTGTTCTATGTATACGTAATCGTCCACGTGTGCATGCAAGCTAGGATGCTGATTTCCGGCAATCCTCAAATAACAAAGATATTGATCACAAATAACAATCTTGAGCACATTAAGCTCTTAACAGAGTCGGCCTATTATCTCAAAGTTTCTTTCATCTCAACAAAAAAGCAACGTTTTAAACAAGGTACATACACGTGTGGTTTGCATTGGGGAAATTGGGGGCGATTTAGCTTCAACTATGTGCTTCAGACGAATGCTAACCGTCCCACTTTTGAGTTTCTGGGGACTGGCAATACAACTCAACTGACAGCTGGAAGATTATGGAGCTTTATGCGACCCTACTTCCAGGGTGTAAACCTAAGCATGGTGTTTTGTGGTTTGTATAGCTATGGACATCTAAATACATAGAAATGAGTCTGGATGATGCATTAATCGGCGACAAGTTTAAATATCTTCTAGTATACTCGGCTCCAGTTATGCCGCTGGCACTCGAAGTAGCATTGAAGCACGACTTCGAGCTAAGGGCAAGATTCTACACACAATGCAACTTTCCAACAGCCCGCGACGCACTGTTTCTATGCAGCTGTAGCTCTCTGTGGTCGAATCGCTATAAGAAGTCGTAAAAATGAACTTCTAACTTTAGAGACGCATAAATTCGTAGGCGCAGAGTAATACTGGCACATTTTGTATGTGCGTATACCAAGCCTAGTCTAGCCGCTGCTCTGCTATCTGTCATGCAATAATATGTATCACTCGTACAGTAATTGTGAACCAAATAGCTATAGCTAGGATGATGTATACCCAATTTAGGAAGATGCTACATCATTTGGAAATGTCAACAAAACTTCATTACGGGAGTCAGGCCCTGTTCTCGAGAGGTTATATGACGAGACTACCTGATTATAGGTCAACTAGCACTCGGTACCACCTGGGCATACATGATCTATTCATAATTTACACTCTCTCCAGTCGTAGTATCAGCAAAATGCGAGCTTACACTAGCCGGTGCTTTTTTGCCATACATGTCCGAGTCCACCAGATACTCTCGTTTCAACCATGAAATTAGACCAATATACTGGGTTCAAGCCTTAATTTCGACTCGTACTGCTTTGCTGTCTATGTCTGACTCGCGTCATCGTCTCAAACCCCCGCAGTCACATGTCCGACATGGGAAATATGCACAGCACGCCAAGCTATTCAATTTGCTGACACATTTCCAAGCGATGACTAGTCTTTGAATTCATATATCCAATATACTGAGGTCTTGGTGAAAATACGCGGCTATCTCGGAGGCAGCTCAACCTGGGTAGGCAGAGAAACAGTTATTATTTTCAATAAAGCATAGGTACATGTATACTGTATTAGTCATTTACGCTTTTGTGATTGAAGTGAAGTTAAGGCCAAGCATTATAGACACTGTGTTGGCATTGTTCAAATGAAGAATACTGGATGGTTTGCAAAGAACTGTTACTGGACAAGAAGGTTACTGAGAGTTAAAACAGATTTGTATTTGGTGCTGGTGCTGAGCTGGGGGAATCTGTCACGGGGTGTTAAAAATAGTGATATCTAAAGCGTTGATTGCTGCACGCAATTAAAACAGCCGTTTTCCCGACAACAATGACTGCCACCCGGTTCTTTAGCTTACGTATGCGCTAAAATCATCAGGTTTAAGGCCTAGGCCGGCTTGGGCGCCCTTGGCTGGTCCAAGGCCTAGACTGGTTTATAAGGTCCTTGTGGGTTTTTTAGCTCAAGGTTCAATCTATCGCCTCATCTATAGACATATTATACAAAGCCCTACTGTTAGTCACATGTGTTCTCCAAGATGAAACGCATAAAGCCCCTGCAACTGACCCCTCCCCCTTACTTGATTGAAAAGATAACACCAAGAAATTAAGAATCCCCATCACGGCCACCGTGTGTGCAACTGTTGGGAGACTAAATGTATCAAGGCGACCTCTAATTATGCCATACATAGTATGAGTCTCGAAAGTGAGGGTCATTATAGGTATCCGGCGCAAAATATCCAAGCTAGCGTCCTGATACCAAGAAAGCATGACTATACCAAGACCTGAACACATTAGCGGCTTGATTAATAGCGGCGTGATCCTTGCATTATCTGACTCTGCCACGATTGACACATGAGGCCAGGGGAGATGACCCCTGCTTGGCGTCGATCCCGTCATCCGGTGACACCCCCAGGTTGATGATCTATTGATCAAAATACATAAAGACTGATGACTGTTTTCGAGTTCTGATGATCGAAACCCGACAACCTCGTGCCTCTCAGGCCATCGTTCATTACATTCATTCGCTACCTTCATTCGTTACATTCGTTCTTTGCCTTCATTCGTTTTATTCTGCGATGCAATCCAAATCTTGGTCTGCCGCGGCCCTGAGTCTGGCAATTATACCCTTTGTCGTAGCAGACACGACAATTACCATCAACGCCCTGTCCAACAACGGTGTATGGGAAGGATGGGGAACCTCTCTTGCGTGGTGGGCACAGGCCTTTGGAGACCGCGATGACCTCGCCGACATCTTCTTTACCACCAATTACGTCAACTTTGGCGGCGTGAACCTCCCCGGTCTCGGCTTCAACATTGTCCGCCATAACGCCGGTGCCTCTAGCACAACGCAGGTTGGCAGTGAGGGTATGGTCTCTTCCTGGAACATAAAGCCCTCGAGGCAAGTCACTGGTTATTGGGTCGATTGGCTCAACGCCGACCCGGCTTCCAGCAGCTGGAACTGGAATAACGACTTGAAACAACGTACTATGATGGAAAAGGCTCGTGACCGTGGCGCCAATAAGTTCGAGCTCTTCTCAAATTCACCCATGTGGTGGATGGTCAAGAACCATAACCCTTCCGGATCCGACGACGGGAGCGAAAACATCCAGTCATGGAACCTTGCAACGCACGCTGTATACTTGGCAACTATCGCTAAATATGCCCAAGATAACTGGAACATCACTTATCTGTCAGTTGATCCATTCAATGAGCCTTCGGAAAGCTGGTGGGTGGCAGATAACACACAGGAGGGCTGCCATATTAGCTGGGACTCACAAAACAGTATAATCGGCTCCCTAAGATCAGAGCTTAACGACCGTGGACTACAAAACATTTTGATCTCTGCCTCGGATGAAAACAACTACGACCAGGCCGTCAAGACCCTCCAGGGGCTAAGTGATGATGCACTCAAGCAGACTGGGAGGATTAACGTCCATGGATACCAGTATGGTGAAGGCGATCGTGGCGGAGTCAACAAGATCGCCGTAGACCGCGCCTTGGCGTTATGGAACAGCGAGTACGGCGAGAGCGACAGCTCAGGCCGAAACCTTACAAGCAACCTCATCCTTGACTTCCGCTGGCTGAGGCCATCAGCCTGGCTCTATTGGCAGGTCCTCGATGGCGGAGGTTGGGGCGTTATCGACGCCGACAACGATGCGGGTACAATAGGAGCCGCAAACCAGAAATACTTTGTACTCGCGCAGTTTTCGCGCCATATCCGCCAAGGCATGCTGATTCTGGATGGTGGCGCTGATCACGTTGTGGCAGCATATGACAGTGCCAACTCGAAGTTGGTAATTGTTGCAGTTAATTGGGGCGGTGCGCAGAACCTTGTGTTTGACTTGAGCATGTTCGTGCAGGCCTCGACAGACGGTGCTGTGGTTACGCGGTGGAGAACAATGATTGGATCGGGGGACCAGTATATACAGTCTGATGAGGTGAAGATGGTTGGGACCCAGTTTTCGGTGCCCTTCGAACAGAACATGGTACAGACTTTCGAGGTCGGTAATGTCAAGATACAGTAGATAGTCCACATACCGAGCGGCTAAGTACTTGTCAAGTGTTTGTTTATGAAGTTCAGTTCTCTTCAGGTGTTTCAGCTAATCCCACTATGGAATTATAATATTTCGTCCAAGTTGGTAAGAAAATATATGGTGAGAAATCGTTGGACGACTCCAATGTCAGCATCAGCTACAAGCATTGCAGCAGCCAACGAAATATTCTCGGTATCTCCGAATGAAAATAGCTCTGATCTATGTACGATGACCAGAACAGGTGTTGATTTAGGTGGTCATGCCCACCCTCGTCTGCAGGCTGGTTCCAAAGCCTGCGTAACGACCATGCCACACGAGACCGCGTAGGTTTCTGAAAAAGCACAAATATGTAAGACTGCAAATCGTCTCTAGGTTTCACGGCCAAAAGGTCCACCGCAAACCAGGACCATCGCAGCTCATAATGGTAAGGATATAGGCTGAGGGACAAGGTAATAGCCACGCCGTTGTGTGGATTTGTAATTGTACTCGCGACCTGCTACAGAGTGGAACTACACAAAGAACGGAATGT